AATTAATGAAGGCCAAGATATCTGACAAATAAAAGGAAAACAAACAATGCAACTCACTCATCTCAGAATCAGTAAAAAGCACTCGATTTGCAACAGCAGCAGGCGGTGGCTTATGTGGAAATAGTGATGGATTAAACAGTGGAAAAAATCTCTGTGCTAACTTGGCAATTTCCTTTGGGACTAAAGCAACAGACTGCTTCTGGGAACTTTCAACAAGTGTAGCAGCCAGTGTCTTCCTAGGTTGTTGGCTGGAAGAAGATGCCCCTGGATTGGCAGTTGGAGGACTGCTTCCTCTAAAACTATTTGCCTCAGCCAATGGCAATAAACAAGGAAGAGGAAATAAAGGCTCTCTTTCATAGTAATTATCACAACTGGATTCCACATGACGCCGATGATATTCGTGAACAGCTGTCAAAATAGACCCGTTAATATAAAAAATAAAATATATCCAGAAGAACTAAATAATTGAAAAAGCACTTTCTAAGGCCTTCTTGTTGGCATACCAGTACAAACATCATCCATATATTTTCCAACTAAATTCAATGCAGCTACATCCATAACAGAAAATACAGGACCATTTATAACAGGTATCCAGCACCCAACTGCTTGAAAAGCAGTCCCATTAAAATGTTGATCATATCTTCCCTCAGAAGTGAAAATGTTTTGAGGCGTTGGTATCTGGGTGTTTGGAGAGACAAAACCCTGTGAATCAAATTTTGAAGATGATCCAGACACACATTGAACTGGGGAAACTTGGGGTACTTCACTCAGCACTGATGAGCAAATATACGGACGAGAAAAGCAAAAATCAGGATGTGCTTCACTTCTGCATGCTACTAATTCTTTGCGTTTGCAAAGCATCTCGAATATCAATCCCTGAACTTGGGTTGCAATGTACTGTCGAGAAGGATCAAGAACACAAAGAGAAAATATCTGAATAAGAAGTTGCACGTGCTCATGTATCAAACAATACAACTGGCCAATTTGATTAGGAGTGAATCCATTTCTTAAACCATCTTCTCTCGTTGGAGCAATATTGGGAACCAAAGCCTTAGCATTGCTAGTAGGAATGGGTGCAATTGGTCTGTTAGGCAAGATTGGTAAGAGGGGACGCAATGGCCTTTTTGCATGTGCTAAAAGTTTTC